GAAGTAGATTGCCCAACCTTCCTTCCGAGGAGTGGCTGGTGGGTTTGAACTGCCAGCCTTCTGGTTAGCAGTCAAATGCTTTAGGCACTACACCACCAGAGCTCCCACAGTGGTAATTACATCTACCAAATTCAGAGTATTAAAGAAGTCAAATCAAGAAGAATGTTAATAGGAGCCATCGTTTACTAAGCATCTTATATATGATAAGCACTAGACTTTATGAAGTCTGAAATAGAAATTACATATACATATATATGTATAATATATGAAATACATATAATTTGTATTCTAAAGACATCATAAAGTACATATAAATCCTAGCAATATGTTTGGTCATAACACATACACTATAAATGGCATTACTATCATTAATATGGTAAGCATAATTGAACATGCACTTTCCAACACTATATCTCTAATAAGTAAATATTTTTTTTCTCTTTTGTTTCTGAAATCTCAAAGCATTCAATCATTACATAGAAAATACAACTGATTCATATAAACTTATTTTAATTTCACTCTTGTTTTCAATATTTTGACATCAGCTTTAGCAGAACAGTAAATATTATAATTACGTTATAGGTTCTGAAATACTTTTCATGATAGCCATAATAAAATTATTAAAAACAAGCATTTCAACTTACTTTCCAGTTTAAATAATGGGTCAAAGTTATTATCCAAGGTTTATTGAAAATTGAAAGTATCTAAATTCTTCCCACAATGCTGAATATTTGGCTGGAACGGAGCAGTCACTCACTAAATACTTGTTGGATGACTGAATATTCCTTATTCTCATCCCAAAAGAGTATAAGATTTATGTTTATTTGAAATTTATCTAATCCCCTAGCTATGGTTAGAACAAACTACAAAATCTTTATGAATTAAATCTTACTTATCTATTTCCAGGGGTAGGAGGGGAGGGGTAGAAACACTGCAAAAAAAAAAAAAAAAGAAATGGAAAAAAAATCTTATCTATATAAATAAGAATAGTTGTACAGGGATAGAGTCAAATAAATTATGGTATTTTAAAATCAATAAATATAGTTAGATAGCATTTAGGTTATAGAAAGTAATAATTTAGTAAACATGGACAAAAATAGAGATCACTAAATTTCCATTGTTCTTTTTCCACATGTCCATTTCCATGAAAATAGAATCTACTGGTAAATGTAGGAAAGAAAATTGACAATACTTTTTTATTGATTTAAAGATCTTTGTGTTATCAAATATCTCTTTAAAGGTAGGCTTATTTTTAATTATAAACAGAATATAACAAAGAAATTGAAGGTAGATCTTAGTGTACTCCACATACCTTGAATTGAAAGAATGTAATTTTTCTGTGCCTTTCCCTCCATATTTGATGCAATGCATGTATAGTTTCCACTGTCTGAAAACTGAGACCGGGCAATTTGGAGTTTGCCACCTCCAGACAAAATATGAACTTCAAGTGAGCCAGAATTTTCTGTATTCACAAACAAAACAGAACAAAACAGACATAAGCTTTTATTTTATATCTCTACAATTCATTATAAAAACATCTTGCTTTATATAAGAAATATATTTCTTACAAGTTCTTCCACTGTATATTTATTTTAAATGAATCTTTTTCAATAAAGGACATAAAGGAAAATACTTTTTTATAAAATGAATAATTATTCCATTTTTCAGTTTATATTTCAGGACATGAAGTTTTATTCAAAGGAGCTCTGCTGGCACAGTTGTTAAACACTCAGCTGGAAACCTAAAGGTCAGTGGTTTCAACGCAATAGCCACTCCACAGGACAGATATGTAGCAGACTGGCTCACCTGAAGAGTACATACAGCCTTGGAAATGCTATATGGCAGTTCTACTCTGTTCTATAGGGTCGCTATGAGTTGAAATGGACTCAAGGGCAACAGGTTTGGTTTGGTTTGGATAAATTTTTCTTCTAGGGAACACAACCATGAGCATAATACTGAAAATGTGTTAGTTTATAAATCTAGTTAATTAAGAAGAAAAGAAACAACCACCAAAAAAAAAAAAAAAAAGCAAAACCTCATTACCTATTGGTTTGTGGTTTTTTAACCATACTATTGTGGGAGGAGGGATCCCAGTGGCATCACATGTTAAAGTCACAGGATTGCTGATCGTTTCAACAATTACTTCTTCTTCTGGCCCTTCGATACTGGGTGGAACTATAAAAAGAAGAAAATCATGTGTCCTCATTAAGCTAATTAAGACAATTTCTTTCATTTGCATATCTAGGGGAAAGAAGAGTTGTATTAGAGGCAGATGCTCACCATATACATTGAGGTGGAAATTTTTATCATCTCGTCCTGCTATATTTATAGCTCTACATACATACTGGCCTGTGTCAGACACCTAAAAGAAAAAGATACTATTGTATGTGCTCCATTATGTTATAGATGACCAATCACACTGTTCCAGTGTAGACGAAATCATCAGTCATCTTATGTTCAAATGCCCCAGTTCTTACTGCCTTCTTCAATCCTTCCATTTTTTTTTTTTTAAGAAAAGAAGATCAATGGCATTGAAGACTTAATTTTTCCCTAAATATTATTTTCGCTATAGTAAAGGGACTATCTCTTGCACCATCCCACAAAGGAATGACACAGAAACAAGAATCAAAGATGTACCTCAGCTTTCTTGATGTGCAGCATTTGTCCATCTACCCAAATCTCCAAGTGAGTAGACTCTGTTATCATCCGCCCATTCTTATACCAGGTGATGACTGGAGGTGGAATAGCATTTGACTCACACTCCAATGACACCGAAGTTCCTTCTCTTACATTAATCACAGAAAGAGATTCACTGCCATGATCTTTAATGCTTGGGGGTACTGAGGGAAAGAAACAAGAACGGAAGGATTTTTTTTTTCTTTTTCATTAATGTCCTTGATAGAAGTATCTAATATCAGTTTAAAAATGAAATAATGAGGAGAGTAAAAACACACCATAAACAGTCAGGGAAACTTTTTTCTTGCTTTCACCAGCTTGGTTGATAGCTATACAAGTATATTCACCACCATCAGATACCTTGGCCCGAATAATCTGTAAAGTTCGACCACCTATAATACAAATTGAAGAGTGATATAGAGGCTGTTCTGTTTAAGATAAACAGCAAAATATGTTCTTTCACTTGGAGTAAAATGGATATATAAGAGTTTCATATTTAAAATGGAAGAATTAAATCAGTTTTATGTGATCCTTGCTTTGCAGTTGATTCTACTTCCTTACAAAGGAAGAAATTCACAGGATTTTTCTTGCCAGTAACCAAACATGGACCATAGAACTATTTGTCACAGCTTCTAGTGAGCAAATAGTAACCGTACTTAGACAAGATATGTCAAAATGCATTTTCTGGCTTGAAAATCTATCTATCCATCCACCCTCAAAGAACTTTAGTTTTGATTAAAAACAGCAAGAGAATTTATTCAATGCAAGAGATATTTATCAACCTACTACTCCCATAGAATTAACAAGCAGTTCTGTTCCTAAATCTCATAATTAGTTGAAGGGGATCTTTGTTATTGTGCTTTCCCACTAAAATTACAAAAGTCTACAACCCTTATCTTAATGGCTTTAAATGAGTAAAGAGGGGCATTTAATGGGAACAAGTAAATGGACTAAGACAAAAGTTTGGAAGAGACTAAGATGAAATGTCTGTCATTTATATTAAAGAAAAATGAGAGTATTTATTAGAATATTATTATATTATATGATCCCATCCCATCTCAAATCATATTAAAGAACTTTTAAGAATAATACATTCCTTACCAGGCACAATGAGAGCATTTGTGTTTGGGTTGATGGGTTGTTCATTCTTGAGCCAGCTGAGATCAGGAGGTGGAAAACCAGAGACTTCACAGGTCAAAGAAATGAAATTATTCACCACAACAGTCACATTTTCAGGGTTAGGACCAATAACACTTGGAGGCACTACAATAGTAAACGTAGTAAAAGTAAAATATGATGTTATCATTCTAATTTATAAATATAAGTCAAAGCACTGTACTCCATTAAAGCACTGAATCAATGATATCATTAATACACTATGAATTACTCTATAGGCTTCCACAAATATCTAAAACTTGGATGATGAAAACCAATCTAGTTGTCTTTCTGGTTAGAATCCCTTAATGCCTTCATCACATTCATTCCCAGAAGTTTTATTTTTCCCAGTTGAGAGAGAGTATCAGAATTTTCAAATACAGATTGTGATAGTTGGAGCTGTGTGTCAACTTGGCTGGACCCCAGTTCTGTGTGGTTGTTCCCATGATGGGATCAGATGACTGTGTTCTGAGTGGCCAGTCTGCCCAAGGGAGTTTCCCTAGGGGTGTGGCCTGCTTCCAAGATATCCAGGGACATCCTGGGAAGAGCCACATTCTTTGAGGGATTGGAACCCTGGTGTGTGGACTACAGACTTCCATGAGTGAGCAGCCCACTGCTCGGCCTGGAGATCTTGGATTCGTCCTTTGTTGGAGTTAACAACCAGTGTACTGCCTGCCAGCCTTGAATCTCTCGGCCCCCTACGCTTACAGAAGCTAAAGCGGCCGCCAGCCCATCTCCTCCAGAGACTTGGACTTGTCGGCTTCTATACGCTTGTGAGCTATTTTCCTAAGATAAATTTCTCTCTCTCTCTCTCTCTAAATATATATATACACTTTTCTGGTTTTTGTGTTTCTCTAGAGAACCCAATCTAACACACAGATATTCTGTATTTTATTTGTAAAACAGTTGGCAATTCCTTACATGGTTTTGTCAATACTCAGACCTTTTATTAAGAATATTTGAATAGTACTACATTTAATATTATACCTTTATTTAAAGTCTTTCTTCCTTTTTAAACCAACTAAAGAGTATTTAGAAATTTAATACTAGGCCACCTATCAAATAATACAGATTATATTTTTCAATAAAGTAGACTGATAACTTTTGAGATGAAAAGAAAATTTAAGAAATGAACAACAGCGTTGAGTTTCTTGTTCAAAATAAAAAAATAATTCAGAAAGCAAAAGTAGTGCTGAGAGAAAAACTGGAGTAAAAAATAATATTTTTAATGCAATATCATTTATATATTAAAATACATGCATATGAATCAATACATATTTCATAAGAAAACATGCAAATGGAAGTAAAAATATATCATTTGAATAGTTGCTAATGAAGGGGGAGTAGAAAAGCAGGTAAGGAAGGGCATTAAAAATGAATGAATAAATGCATGAATGAATAATAAAAGAAGACATGAGTCTTGCTTAGACTAATGAAGATAATGAGACATGAACTAAGAAATGAAGTTAATACAGTATTTTGTTATATTCAGACTGAGGTCTTAAAATAACATCAACAAGAAAAATAGAACATGAAAAAACCAAAAGTCTTTTTTCCTTTAAATATTATGATTGATTTTTTTAATCAATTAATTAATTATAACATTCTCCATTTATCAAACATTTATTGAATAGCTACTATATGCTAGACATTATGGTAGGTGCTGAGGATGCAAGGTGAAAAACATTTAGACAATACTGAGATTTAATGATCTGATTGCCAGACACAGAATTAAATACAACAGTTAATGTTTTGAGTGCTTATGCTGTGACAGGCACTGGTCTAAACACTTCACATATATCATGTCTTTGATGCCTCCTACAACCTTCTATATTAGAAACAATTCTCATCCATATGTAATAGAAGAGGAAATTGAGGTATAGAGAGGTTTAGTATTTGCCTAAGAGTACAAAGTTTGGTTACTGGAAGATACAGATTTGGAAATGAAGCAGTCTGGTTCTAGAGTTCTTTTTCTTAGTCACTGTTCTACACTATCTAGTAATTACAAGTGACAACAGGACACCTAATCTAGTTTGGAGATAAGGGAAACTTCCTGGAGGAAGTGCATTTAAGATGAGACTTGAAATACGAACAATTCTTAGCTAAATTGAAGAGAAACACAGGATGTGGCTACCATAACAATGATACAACATATGCAAAAGTCCAGATGGGGAAAAGAACATAAAATCTAGAAGGTTAGTAGAGTTTGAAGAGTAAGGGATGGGGCAGGGGGAGGACTCAGAACTAAACATACAAGATTTTATGGGATCTTCTGTAATCTGTGTGAGAGATCATGGTAGGTGGCACAGATTACAGCAAAAGCCTCCTAAGTAATTTTTTTTTTTTTTTTAATTGTGATTTGGGTGAAAGTTTACAGTGCCAATTCACTTTCCATACAGCAGTTCGCATACACTTTGTCTCATGACATTGACTACAATTTACCACAATTCAACAGCTCCCCTCCTACTTCCTTCCCATAGTTACCCCCTCCTGTGTCCTTCCCTCCATGCCCTCCTGCCTCCTGAGCTGTCTCCCCAAGCATTCTCCCACGATTGTTCTCTCCAAGAAGTGTATCTACCTAGTATAAATGTTCATCTCATATGCCTGTCTTTTGTTTGGCTGGAAACCACAGGTGTGGGTTCACTTCCAGACCTGAAGGGCAGCTAAAAAGCCTCCTAAGTAATTTTTTTAAAATTATTTTTTGATCAAACCACTTTTTTTCTTTCCCTTTGCCTTTAGAACGTATGTCTACATTCTGAGTGATGCCCAGGAGGGTTGAGGCAGGAGAAGAAGTTAGGAATGATGTTCAGGTTTCTGGCTTGAAAAAGTGGTTTGTGGTGCTTTCCTTACTGAGACAGAGATCATTGGAGGAGTAATATATTTTAGGGAAAAGGTAAGGAGCTCAGTTTTATACATGTTGTTTTAGGGTGACTATTAGGCATTTATGCCAATAAAAAGATATTTGGATAGAGTCTGGGACTCTTGGGAGGGCCCTTGATGGAGTTAAAATTTTTGGAAACTATTTGCAAATGGACAGTAAAATTTGGAGAGCATGATATCATGTAGAGACCTAGCTCTAGAGATCTGAGAACTGCAAAGTATAATGGGTGAGTAGAGAAAAAAAGAACTAGCAAAGAGAAGAAGAGACAGGAAAGACAGAATATACACAAAGGATGTGGTGTCCCAGAAACCAAAGGAAAATAATTTTTCAAAAGGGTAGGGCCAAGAATGCAAAATGCTTGGAAAGATGGAGTCAAATAGATATAGCCTGAAAGTGCCCATTGGACTTATTAACAAAGATGTCATTTGGTGAACTCAGTGACAGTGTCAGTGGAATTGTAGAGGTGGAATACAGAAAACTATGGTGGGAGGACTGAGTGAAAAGCCAGGAAATAAGAGACTATACACATACTGCTATTAGAGAAGTTTGCCTTGAAATGAGGGAGAAAGATAAGGAGTAGTTGGAGAGGAATGTTAAGTTTAAGGAAGTTTTTTTTTTTTTTTTAAACATAGGAGAGACTATTAAATGTATCCACTGGTGGGAAGTCTCTGGCCAATAGTAAGGATTTCAACTATCCATTATACAAACACCAAATGTTGCTAGATGTCAATACTTGCATACATATGACATCAAAAAAGAATGTTAATGGAATTCACTCCCATGGTTTAACTTTCAGCCAAATAACAGACAGTTCTACGAGGTGAACAATTACACCAGGGAGGTACACTCCTTAGAACAGTCAACCATGGGAGATCATAAGGGCAGTATTTGCACAGGGAGATATCTCAGAGGACTGGAAGGCATAGGAAAGAAGAGTAAAGGGAAAAGGTAACCACAGGGTGGAAGTGGGAATAGAGCTATTATGTTATGGGGATTGCAATCAATGTCATTAAACAAAATGTGTATGAACTACTAAATGGAAAACGAATTTGCTCTCTAAAATGTCAATGAAGTCACAAAAAAAGTTAAAAGAAAAAATAAAGATGTCCATGATGCTATGAAACTTTAAATTTCATCTATTTCTAAAATGAGCTAGAATTTTATGTATGTATGACATATGTAAAAGAAATCTTTTATAATCATTATTTATAATTGCCAATATTCTAGAAGCAGCTGTACCCTAATGAAAAACAAAACAATTTGGTAGACATACAACTGTTTTTTTAGCAACAAAACAGGATTTATGGAGTGTTTAGCATATATCAAGAATTTCATTTTGATGAAGTTTGATGAATAAATTAGGTGGAAGGGTGGTCTTCAGGAATTTTTTAACTTCATAAAGTGACTTTTCCTCCTCTGTGAGTATATTAGGTACTGTAGGATGTAACTCTACATAAATTCTGGACTTGAGGAAAGAGAGCGGTTCCACTGAGGATTGATGGATTAATTTTCATGAGTGTAAGACCTATATTTGGCTCTAATGTCATATAAATTTGTAATCTTTAGGATTTCAAATTTTGAGTTTGCTTTCAAATATGTAGGAGTAATGACATTCTCTTAAGGGACTGCTAAGGGGCAAGGAGGCTGCATCTTCTGGCCTCCTCTAATCCCCCAAGAGGAAAACAGAATCACCATCAGCCACCCAAGGCCCAAGACCTATTCCTGCAATATGCTCCCTCCCTCTAGCCCTTTCCCCAATCCTGACACCAACCATTCTTCCTGCAGCACCTACCCTCTCTGTGCTGGGTTTGATAACTTGCTGCAGTGGCCACACAGCACTCACAGATTATGGGGTTTATTGGAGAAGCACCAGGCTACAATTCAAGTTCAGGAAAAATGCCCACTGCCTCTCAGCCAACAGTCTTTCTCAGTCTCTCTCCCAGCAATGTGTTTCTCTCAGTGTCTCTCTCTCAGCAGCATGTGGCTCTCAGGAGCACACTTCTCTCAGCAGCACATCCTTCTCAGACAGCAGTCAGAATGACTCCTTCTGCCTTTAGGAGGCCTCCTTTTGAGCCTGGCAGAGTGGCCAAACTAGCCAATTATAACATCAGAATTCTAATACCTGAGAGAAGCAAACTTCCCAGAACATTGCTTTGTGTCACCCGCACCAGAAATACCCCAAGTGGATAACTTTAACAATCAGGAGCTCCTCAGTTGCTCATGGCAAATTCCACCATGGAGTTTACAAAGGCTTATGGCTCGAAAAGCCATATCAGGTAATTTACTACACCACAGGCCACCCCCTGGCTTTTCTAGCCATTATCCCCTTTATACTTCAAAAATTAACATCCCCTTCACCGTCAATTTAAGAATAACCACACCCATGAAAGTGTGTAAGCCAGTCACTTCATGCCTTTATCTTCCCCAGCCAATTCCTAATTTGCCCATCCCTATCAAACCAGTACTCTGAGGACATAAGCATGGTCCTTTCTCTTTGGAGAATCTTCTGTTCTACTTGGAAACTTCAGGCATCTAGATCCATAAACAGGCAAAGTCCAGCCCAGTGCAAGCAGCTTCAAGTTGCAGCAACTTAACACCAGCTCAGTGTCAAACATCTTCCTCTTCATTTGGTTGGGTTCTGGTCAGGTCAGCCCTAGCCATTCCAGCTAGGTCATGGGTACCAGCTGCCAAGTTTGGGAGTCACACTCTTCCCTTCACTTTAGACCAGCCAGCACATTCTCTCACATCCTCAGTCCTCAGGGATTATTTCAATGCCCATAGGCTCACAACTCATTGCACTTCAGACCAGCCAACCCTTCCTCTCATCACCAGCCTCTGTGGCCTAGGTCAAAGAAACTCAGCCTGTTTCTTCTTTGCTGCACCTCCCCCCATTTCCACTCAAGTGGACCCAGGTGGTCACAAGTGAGTAATATACAAGCCTACTGCTCACTGGCTTCCTTTAACTTTCAGTCCTAGAAGGGGTTTCTCTCATGGACCATGACTTTCCTGCCCTGATGCACCCAAAGCCTATCTGCTTGCTTGAAGAAGTTTTTTTGTTTTTTTTTTTTCCTGTAGGTCTTATCTTCAAATGCAGATCTCCTGTTCTCTTAGTAGTTCTGGTTAGGACTCAGGTTTTCTACCTAAGCCCCTAATACTCTACACAAAGGGCTTGAAACAAAAGCCTGTGTTTTTTTCTGGGCAAATTCTATTTCCTCTTTTAACATATCCAATCAAGTATCAGCTGAAGGCGGACTTACACGCTCTCTGTTATCCACACCCCATAATCACATCTAATGTACAAGCAGGTAAGAGAACATTCAATAGCCTTAGTATATTCAGATAAACACATAATCCAAAACACATAATCCTTTTTAAGACATTCCTGGTTCATCACTTCACTTTGATTACCATCCCATTCTATGTATATGGCCTTGGGCCTTTGGCTGGGTGTAACCAAAAGCACTTGCCTCTAAATCAATTATCTCCTTTAAAAGGTAACAACAACCAAAGTAACCACCTAATAATCCAAAGTTTCACTTCCCAGGCCTCTTCCTTCTTTCTTTTATGAAGTCCCATTCTTCTGTAAGTCACTTCTAGGAGCCACTGCAACAAATCCCACTTCTGACACCAACTGCTAAGGGGGCAAGGAGGTCACATCTTTTGACCTCCTCTAATCACCCGAGAGGAAGAGAGAATCACCCTCAGCAGCCCAAGGCCTATTTCTGCAAGGCCAGACATGCTGCCTCCCTCCAGCCCTTTCCCCAACCCTGACACCAACTGTTCTTCCTGCAGCACCTACCCGCTCTCTGCTGGGTTTGATAATTTGCCGCAGTGGCCAAACAGAACTCACAGATTATGAGGTTTTTTAGGAAAGCACCAGGCTATAATTTAAGTTCAGGAAAAATGCCCACTGTCTCTCAGCCAACAGTCTCTCTAAGTCTATCTCCCAGCAATGTGTGTCTCTCGGTGTCTCCTTCTCGAAATTGTGTGTCTCTCAGGAACATGTTTCTCTCAGCAGCACATCCTTCTCAGCCAGCAGTCAGAGGGACTCCTTTTGCCTCTAAGACGGCTCCTTTTGAGCCTGGCAGAGTGGCCAAACTGACCAATCATAACATCAGTATTCCAAACACCTGAGAGAGAGCGAACTTCCTAGAACATTGCTTTGTGCCACCCACAACAGAAATACCCCAGGTGGATAACTTTAACAATCAGGAGCTCCTCAGTTGCTCACAACAAATTCCACCATGGAGTTTACAAAGACTTATGGCTAGAAAAGCCATACCAGGTAATTTACTACACCACAAGGACTGAAATAACATAAAATTGGGCATTCTAGAAGATTTGTACTTTATAAATCCTACTAGCTAAGACGGAAAGGCACTACACATTGTCCAACTTAAAAAGTACGAAATAAGCCTACATAATCTAAAACATGGGTTTTCTGCTTTCTCATGAGTACTATGACAGATGTTTTTGGAACTGAGTTCTTACCATGAACATTGAGATTAAAATATTTTTTGGCACTTCCAGCTGTGTTCTCCGCGACACACACGTACCTGCCAATATCTGTTATTTGAGTATTTAGAATCTAAGAGAAAAATGGAGAAATTCGAACTGACATTTTTAATCAAGCAATTTGTCATAATTTTCATCAATTTGTAGGATTAGGAACACAACACATACAATGTATATTCTTCCTAGTTAGTATCAGATGAACATAAAATATTTCATACATAATAGTGTTGATGTTGACATTTATAGATCAGGCCAATCAAATAACTATTTATAAAGATTTCCAATCAGAAAGAGCAGTTTTAAAGATAGCTGTGGTAGACTGACTACAAAGGTATCTCAAATTATTCCCTCACATCCCTATCCACAGCCCTTGTAATATGACTTAAGTTCTACCCAACAAGATGTGAAGTAAAGATATGAAATCTATGTTGGTCTTGTCCCTGGTTTTGACCATATAATGTGACAGAAGTGACACTAAAGAAACCCTAAGGAGACATATGCCCTTTCTACCTTGTTACTAACCAGGAGAGTCTGCTGGTAGATGAAAGATCATATGGGACAGAATCATCCCAGTTTTGCAATTGAGGACATAGATATGAGAGAGAGCCAGGTAAGATCAGCAGATCCACAGCTCTCTGCAGTCACAGGAGTAAGGCTAGCTGAGACCAGAAACCTTGTCAGCTAAATAAACACTTCTTGTTTTAATTAATTAAATCTTGGGGTGGTTTGGTTCACACAGAAATTGTTAACTAATATAGCAATTATATTTTTCTTTATTACTATGCCTAAATTTCTATCCATCTATATATTCCTTTGGCCCTAGGAACAGAGACATTTAAGTGTTTTGGTAGAGGTAATATGCTCAGCAAGCAGAAATATGCATGTTTAGAAACTACTTTGAGGAATCATGGTTAAGTATAGGCAATAAACTTTATTCTTCTTATATGAAAAACTCTATGAGATGTGTCTAGTATTAGATATACTGAGAGTTATGCTTACATTTTTGGGCTAGTAGAATATTATTTATAGTGTTCAAGAAGTAGTTAATTAAGTTATATGCTAACAAAATGTTGTTGTTGTTATGTGCCGTCGAGTCGGCCCCGACTCATAGCGACCCCTCCTTGGGTTTCCGAGGCAGTATCACTACGGAAGTAGGATTGCCCAACCTTCCTTCCGAGGAGTGGCTGGTGGGTTTGAACCGCCAGCCTTCTGGTTAGCAGTCAAGTGCTTTAGCCACTATGCTACCAGAGCTCCCACTAACAAAACAGTTGATGTTATATCTATAACTTTCTTTTAGGACCTTTGAAAATAAAAATATAGACATGTTTATTAGTGAACAGCAATCCAGGATATTTATGTGGTTTCACTGCTACTTATTATTATTAACCATTTGCCAATATAAAACAAATTTTAATCTACAAGGAACCACCTAAATTTTACCACAAGAAATATACAATGCAAAGATTGTATAAGTAATTTGCTTATAATTTGGGTTTATCACATGGATCATGTTATGTAGTAAATTTAAGCGTGTGTGTCAGGGGGAGCCCTAGTGGCAAAATGGTTAAGCACTCACCTGCTAATCCCAAAACTGGCATTTCAAACCCACCAGCCACTCCATGGGAGAAAGACACAGCAGTCTGCTTCCATAAGGATTATAGCCTTGGAAACCCTATGGCAGTTCTACTCTGTCTTATAGGGTCACTATGAGTCTGAATCTACTCAATAGCAATAGATCCGTGTGTGTGTACAAATGCATGTATGCATATGTGACACAATTTCTGAAAATATTCACACAAAACTTTTAGCAATGTTTGCCTTGGGTAGTGGGAATAGGGTAAATGAGAAAAAAGAATTTTATCTACCTTGGATGGTTACATGTTTTTATAAATACAATGTTGATAAACCAATAAAAATTATTGTCAAAGTGAAAAAAAAAATAAAGTACAAAGTCCAATAGCTTTTAAAAAAAAAAATTCAATTTTTGCTTTTACCTGCAGAATTCTTCCATTAGATAAAAATTTGTGATGGCCGTCTTCTAGCAAAGGCTGTCCATCTTTTAGCCAGGAATTCCTCGGAGCAGGGGTGCCACTGGATAAACACTCCATCAGTATACTCTTGTTCACCAGCACGGTGACCTCTTCAGGGAGATCACTATTTGCTCCTTTGATAACTGGTGGCACTAATAAATAATTGCAAAGACATATTGATGGAAAATGTGTTCTCCAAATTATTCTAGTTTTCTGGTAGTTTTAAAAAGTTTGGCATAATAGTAGCAAAACAGCTTGAAGGAGAGATCCATAATCTTCAGTGACATTTTATGCTATTTAATTAGGTCGGCAATAAAAATTACTCAATTTGACATTTTTTTTTCTCTTTCTGTTCTTCAACTACCTTTGACTAACCCTTACCATAGGTTTATTCCAATTTAGCTTAATCACAGTTTTCCCTAATGTATCTTATCCTGCTTCCAGTGTGCCTGTAGATTTTCAAGCATACATACAAATAGCATTTTCACATAGGAATAAAATGCTATTTATGTCTATTTTTGCCTATTTGATCATCTAGTACAGACTGAAAAAGCAGATCTTTTAAACTGTACATGTTCAGATTTGGTATCATTTTCAAGGAATTCTTTGGGCTATGAAAAGTTTGTTTCCCAGCATCAGTATCAATGGCAACAGCATCAGTATCAATTAGAAATGTATATTCTCATCCTCACCAAAATAAGGATCCTAAGAGAGGGCCGATAAATCTGTGTTTTAACAAGCTTTCCAGCCTATCCTTATGCACATTAAAGTGTGAGAAGTCTTGCTCTATATTTTTCTACACAAATTCATCCTCATTTACAATATTACTGTAAAATACAGGTATATGGCTACCTTATAATAGATCAGTCAGTTATGAGAAGTCACATTTGCACAGAATTTTTAAAAATAGAAAAGCTAAGTAAGGAAGGAATGCATGTCTTGGCTTCTTTTGTAAATGAAGAAATCATTTTCAAAGGAAATAGTCATTTTGTATTTTGTTTTGAAAGCTTGGTTATTTTATGATTTATTCCTTAAGATGTATTGTACCTTAAGCAATCAGTAAAGACTGAATGTTTAATGTAGTAGATACAGTATTGTGATAATTGGGCCTATCAAAATCTAAACTGAAAATCTGTAAGGAAAATAATTAAGGACATAATAGGATTGCAATGTTATTTTGTATGTATGTTTTTCATTAAATTTATATAGTTTTTAATATACATTGAGGAGCTCTGGTGGCACAGTGCCTAAGGCATTCGACTGTTAACCAGAAGGCTGGTGGTTCAAATCCACAAGCCATTCTGGAGAAGGAAGATGGGGTCATCTACTTCTAAAAAGATACACATTCCAAAATTGAGTATACATTAAATAATGTAAGATATATAACTGGAACTATATATAGTTAAATAATACATTTGAATTTCTGATTAAATGATACTATGACTACCTGATACTGTAAAAACTAATTAAATGAAATATTGAGACATAAAGACTTAATGCTCTCCTAACTTTTGACTGGAGCTGAAACAGAAAGAGGTACTAGTAGCTGTGGTGGCATAGTGCCTAAGGCACTTGACTGTTAACCAGAAGGCTGGTTGTTCAAATCCACCAGCCACTCCTTAGAAGGAAGACTGGGCAAACCACTTCCATAGAGATACCACCTCAGAAACCCAAGGAGGGGTCACTATGAGTCCGACCAACTCGATGGTAATGAGTTCTGGTTTCTTTTCTTTTCTTTTTTTTCCCCAAGAGGTACCCTACTGGTTCAGCATCTGATATGTAGTGGCCTCCACAGCAGCTCTTTGCTCTGATCTCTTCCTCCTCTAACCTATTGCATTAACTAAAAAAACTAAAACAAACAAAGAAACAACAAACACTCAGCTGACATGGAATCCGTGTCAACTCATGAAAATCCCATGTGTTGCAGAGTAGAACTGCACTCGATAAGGATTTCATGGCTGTGACTTTTTGGAAGTAGATCACCAGCCCTTTCTTAGAAGGTGCCTTGTAAGAATCAACATACAGTTTTCAAGTAAATTTTGAACTCTAGTATTTTCTATTTTCCACATCTTGTAGGTCTTCCTTTATAAGCTACTCTTCATTTGTTCTGAGAAATCCAGTCCTTCCACTCCTCTCTCTTTATAATCAGCCCATCATTCTTCTTCCAGCCTTCCTCTCTCTCCCTTCCCTTTTTTATTCTCTTTCACCCTCTAGTGCTACCACAATGCACATTCCCTCTCAGAAGACCACATCTATTTTCTCTCCCTCTGCCCCCAGGTAACTGAGTGTGACTTCAGAATGCACTGACTCAGAGTCGAATGGCTCCAACCTCAACAGCTGATTGTCTGTTATGTTCCTGACAGTGGCAAAAGCCCATATCCCATCCCCATCACTCTTTCTTACTCTCATATTTAATGGATAGGACTGAGTACTTTGATATGAGTTCTTTTATATCCCTTCTTACTGGTCTAAAATTTATCTTTACTCCTCTTAGTTTCTTTCTTTCATTTTTCACTTCTAGGACCTTATTTCATCAGTAACTCCCTCCTCCCTCCACAAACACACTGAAACTTCAATTTTTCCAATTCTGTTCAATCATTTCCTTTGCTGTATAGGTAAACTGAAATATCTCTTCAAATATCTCTGTTCAATCCCAATAAGCTATTTATCCCAAACTCTATTCCACCTTTTTCCTGTCTGTGAAATGTTTTAAGAACACTATATTTGTTTCTTCTATTTCATGATCACTTGCTCAATATCTATCCTTTTTTTCTGTCTTTGCACTATACCATATTACCTAAAATGATCATTTCAATTTCACCAATGCTTTTTTAGTTTTAAACCCAAATGACCTTTTTCTCAGTTTTTAAACTTGCCCAATCTTCTTTCTGATGAGAGGCTGGTGGGTTTGAACCACCAGCCTGCTGGTTAGCAGTCAAATGCCTTGGGCACTGTGGCACTTGAGCTCCTCAATCCTTGATAACCTTTTCTCTACCTTGATCTGCAACATTGTAGTTTATTGGTTCTCATTAACTCCTCAGATCGTTTTTCCTTTTACTTCATTTTTTTTCATTTTTCTACTTATAAATGATCCCACACTGATTTTCTTTTGACTTTTTTGCTGTTATTTAATAACCCTCTTTTGGAAATCTCAAGACATCCAATGCTATTTGATTGTAAATGATTCTCAAATATATACTCTAAGTCCAGTTCTGTCCCCTATGGTGTAGTTCCAAATTTCCAACAGCTCATTCAAGATTTAAAAAAGAATCCTGGTACCAGGTCAAATTCAACAAATCCAAAACAAAATTCACTTTCTCCCTTCCCAAATCTGGTCCTTTTCCAAAGCCTTCTATCTTTATTATATGATATGAAGTATTATACTCTCAGAGTATAAAATGGCATTGAGATTATTATCCCAGGTGTATAACAGGATTTTAATCACCTGGAATAAAAATCTGTGTCATTTTATACTCTGAGAGTATATTTCTATTATGTAATCACTTCCTCTGTGAAATCTTTCATACTGACTACTTCCTATACATTCCCACAGCCACTTCTTTAGCTCAACCTCTTTTAATGGAAGCTTCTATTTGCTTCTGCTGTTAGAAACATCACCCCTCTTTTCCCTTGAAGGACACTTCTACTTTCAGTTCAGGCATTCACAACAGTAGGTATAGAAACTAGGTTTTATCAATCAGAATATTACAATATCTTGGCTACTGTAATTGGTTCAGATATGATATGTGACTCATGCTTGGCCAATTAAAGTTATGGAAATTCAGTTCTAGGAATCAACTGTAAATACTGGGCAAGAAAACCTTTCATTTGGCATATATAAACCTACAACTGTTGTTGTTGTTGTTGTTTGCCGTCGAGTCGGCCCCGACTCATAGCGACCCCTCCTTGGGTTTCCAAGGCAGTATAACTACGGAAGTAGGATTGCCCAACCTTCCTTCCGAGGAGTGGCTGGTGGGTTTGAACCGCCAGCCTTCTGGTGAGCAGTCAAGTGCCTTAGGCACTATGCTACCAGAGCTCCTACAACTGCTAGGGGCCATATTGCCACCCAATGGGATACCTACCTGAGGGTGAAGCTAAAACAGAAAATCAAAGCCAAGAGAAAAGCAAAGACTGGTTTTGACCACAGAAGTCAGACATGACTAAAGCCAACTCTACCATTAGATTTTAAATCAAGACAACTAACTCCTTGTGTGAACTATCAGTTTCTAATGATTTTTGTAGCTCTAAATTGTTTGGTGCAACATCTTGCAAACATTAACTCCTCAGAAATATTTTTTAGTAAAGGAACGCAAAATAAACTAAGGAAAACATGCTCACAGAGTACACGGACGTCATACTGAAGGGAATCTTCTCCAGCTTCATTCACAGCCACACATGTATATCTTCCAGCATCTTCAACTTTAGCCCGAGGAATCTGCAACACTCGTCCTCCTGAAAATACATTAGAAGATATTCACTTCTCTAAATCTTAGAATGAACACTGGTCATAAGCAGAAATACAATTATGCAGGTCTAATGTGTCATTGGAGCACATACCATGAATACATTACTTACATGCTATGATTGGGAAGGAAGGAAGACTGGGCAATCTATTTCCGTAGTGATATTGCCTCAGAAACCCAAGGAGGGGTCTCTATGAGTCGGGGCCGACTTGATGGCACATAACAACAACAACAACAACAACAACGACTTCCTTAAATTTTCTTTTAAGCTTCCTACTTTTCGAATGGTTTAGTTTTAATCCCAGATACCGCTTTTATAACAATCACTGCTTAATAAAGTTATTTAATTGATGGATCACATCACATCAGATATGAATAGCTAGTGTAGATTTTCCTAGAGAAGAAATTACATACTATGTTCTTCATTGTACTCCATGTGAAATGTTACTATGCAGTGACTTTCTTGCTTTTACAGCTCTGAACACATTTAACAGAAGTTTACCATTTCTGTGACTACTGGTTTGAGGAAGAAATAGCCAGGTATGCAAAAGACATTAAAAATACTGTTATACATATACTTTAAAAAGGATAACTGTATTTAAACATGTATATACATATATACACCCCCCAAAAAAAATTTACTGCCATTGAATCAGTTCAACTCATAGTGACCCCTCCTTGGGTTTCTGAGGTGGTATCACTACAGAAATAGATTGCCCAGTCTTCCTTCTGAGGAGCGGCTGGTGGGTTTGAACCACCGGCCTTCTGGTTAGCAGTCAAATGCCTTAGGCACTAGGTTATAAACGTTGATACAATTTCAAACTTAAATAAAAGTTGCAAGAACTGTAAAAATAGCTCATCCATACTGACCAATCATCTATGTATTTCACTTCATTTGCTGTACCATGTCTGTGTATCTATCTGTGGCATGTAATCATTTCCTCAGTGAGATCTTTCATACTGACTACTTTCTACCACAATATATTTCTAATGCCACTTCTTTAGCACAATCCCTTTTAATGGAAGCATCTACTTGTTCTTGCTGCTAGTAAAATCATCTTTCTTTTCCCTTGAAGGAACATTTCTTCCATATATATATTGTTGTTGTTGTTGTTGTTATGTGCCGTTGAGTTGGCCCCGACTCATAGCGACCCCTCCTTGGGTTTTCGAGGCAGTATCACTACGGAAGTAGGATTGCCCAACCTTCCTTCCAAGGAGTG